CAGGATGGCGACTGTCGCAAATACTGACATAGGTACGCTCCTTTTTATTATTGTCACCTGCATAAGCAATTATCCCACATCGAGTTCGCTAACGTTACTAGCTTAAACAAACGTAACATGCAACGTTAGCCTAATCCAAAATGCTCTACTAGGGCTTACCTTTCATATGGCTTGTCAGCGCACTCTCCCATCGCGAATAATTGAAATTCTTTGTGGCAAACTGTGCAGAAGGCGAATCGTTGGGTTGATCCTCGTTTTAGCCACAGCTTTTATTTCTTTTCGGATAGCCAACGCTCGTTAAAACGGCAACCTCCTGGCATACTGTCATTCTCTCATTAGAATGCCCAGGTCACACAAAATAAAACACTTGCAGGTCGCGCGCATAGCGCGGGAAGGCCGGAGCGGAGCTGTTTTATGTAGAAGCGAAGCAACTAAACTCGCTCCGACTTCTTTATTTTCTTTTAATCTAAAAAGCGAACTATTCAGTCAGACAGCAATTTATTGTAAAAGTAAAGCATTTACAATTTCAAGCACTTTATCTCAAATCCAAGCACCATTCCCAAAATTCAAGCACTTTTCAAGTCATGAAAACACCTCGTAAAAATTCAAGCATTTTCAAGGATTTCAAGCACCCGTACGAACCCTGTATATAATAGTTTGGCCTACTACTTTGTGTAAAGTTGAATCGTTAAAATTGTAATTACTTTTGGCTACCAGTTGAACTTCTGTGCCCTCTTGCAAACTGGTTTTGAACATAAGGCTTCATGTAGATTAAGGTTTAAACCTTACCAACTATACATTTGTAATTAAATCAGTATTTAAAAAAAATAAGTTAGTGGAGCTACGCTAGTCTTCCTACGGACTTCCCTGGCAACTTCAGAAGTACCCCTTGATGGGAATCTCATATATATAGTAGTCGTCTATGGTGGGGAATCACTGTAAAGTACCAGTAATTCTTTTCAAGCACTCTCACAGCAGGAATTATTCCAGTACTCAATATTTCCTTAAAATCGCTGTGGATTAAAACAGGCAAAGGGTAATGTGTCAGAGCGATAGATTAAGTATAAAAAGGTTATTAGAGTGCAGGCCCGAAAGACACTATTAAATACACATTTCTTATAACATTGGAACACCTTTTGATGTTGGAACCCTGATCTCTAGTGCGACTTCAACACACGTTTTGATTTTACTGCTTCATTATAAAAACAGACACAATAATTCCGCTCCAGACAGATTTATTTGTTGATGTTGTGGCCATGTCCAGTGTGGGTTAAACAATAGAAAAAGTCCCAAGGTTTACTGGTCTTTCAACTCCTTCAGCCTTCTGATCGCAGACTTGACTGTGACAGCTGAAGTTGTGCTGCAAAGACAAAAAACAACATTAATACTTATTCATTGTGTATGCATTATAATTCAATTATTTAAACCTTGTCTATCCAATTGCTGTCCCTTGCTTCAACAGGAGCTTACCTCTCTAAAAAAAGTAAAGAAAAAAACTTGTTGCCGCATTCATGAAGGTCCTTTTTTTAAATAACTTTCACATAAACTCCATTAGGTGATCTTGCCTTTGTTGCATTAGTTTTTCAATATAAAAACACTTTTCCTTTGGCAATATAAAAAACAATGCAACCCTTTCTTCTTCTTATGAAGTCTACCCGTAGCCTGTCTGCCTGGTCTGTAGAACAACCTTATTAACAGTATATTGGAAAACATTCCTGAAAACCCCTTACATCAGCACGTAGCTGTCCACAATCCCAAAGATTCTTCATTTGAAAGATTGCTTGCTTTGTGGTTCGGCGGCAATGCTCAATGCAATGATGATGATTTAAGGTTTGGATGGTAATTGGCAAAGCAATCCAATCATCTTTCCTATTGTGGTCTGGGAAAGGCTGCTACCATATCAAGTTAGGAAATGTACCATCACCCCTTGACACATCGATTAACATCTCGTTCACAGATTGGCAGTTCCCCGTCCAATTAAAATTTGAACAGCGGAAGCTTTTCTTTAAAAAGTCAAATGTCCCTGAAATATCTTACAATTTACGTTTCTTAAAAAACAGGGGGAGGGGGGGGAATACAAATCATTGCGATTTTTAAAAACGTTATAAATGTTCGGTCTGAAAAGTCTGACTCAATTCCTTAGTTATCCATTTCACATGTATCTCATTACGTTTGAGTATTGTACAGAGCAAGTTTGTCAAACATTATGTGACACTCAGCTCCAGGAGAAACCTGTATGGCTGCTTCCTTTTCATACAGTTCTTCTATGTTTTACTCATTTACTGTCAAATATTTGCAGCAAGTGGAACAAACATCATCCCGGTGGCTAAAATAGAATTGTTGATAGGGGAATCAGGCTTAGCAACAGCCGAAGATGCCGCCCTAAAACATTAATTCTCAATATGAAATAGTAAAAAGAAACCTACTTGTATGTCCAGGCGCCTCCAGCCACGGTCTTCCTGCAGGACCCACAGTGCCAGATGCCAACGGCCCTCCTCTTCATCTTGGTCTGTCAAAATACATTTAAAAGTGGTATCTTGTCAACAAATACACAATATTGAAATATAAAAATGTTTTACATATGCTTGAGGTTTTAACAGTGTTTCGTTACATTAATATATACACTTTAAATGAACCTGAATAAGATCACAAGTTAGTTGGAGCAGTTTGTGGATTTTATAGTTGACCTTACCTTGCCACAGAAAGAGCAGGTGTATTTTGCGTGCTGGGAGATTTCAATTTTCTTAACCATCTTCCTCAGCGACGCGCCATAACGCGTGCCATATTTACCCACGATCCCCACCTTCTTGGTACGCTTGGCCTGTGAACAACATTAAAAAATACAATGTTCAAAATATGCAATAATAATGCAGCTGTAGAAGCAGAACTCCCTCTGATATATTTAGCCGATACTGCCACCAAACTCTTAGGCAGCAACTGTTACTAAAAGGGGAAAAGTTTTTGCACAATATTCTAGTTATGCTTATACAAAAAGCCAGTCTAGTTCTAAGGATTACATTTTCTTACAGCAGAATTTACAGAGGACGACCACATGTCACATCACTGCAGCTTTTTAAAATGAGTTTACACCATTAAATCGTGAAACTTGTAGAATCAGGCTGCCGTGTTAGCAGTGGTGTAACCAGCTAGCCTAGCTTCCGTTAACCTAGCTATCCAACGAGCTAAGCTACACCAATTCAACAACAGTGTATACAGGTTTGGAGACTACAACCCTCTAGAAAAAAAGCATTTACGTTTGCTTTCATTTTAAACCTGAGGGTCTCCCAGGTAAGCAAGGAATATAATATTAATGCTAATATGCCTAGCCCACCCGGTACATGGTCTCAGTGAGTAGCAATGGTGGCAGCCATTTCTGTCTCACTTGAACATGAAAACATCGTATTTGCTGGAGAAATAATCCCCAAATCGCCACAAATAACGGGCAGGTATAACAAACAAGAACATTGTGAACCCTTCAAATATGTGATTAAATCATTATTAGCTCAGGAATTGGTAGATTGACACGGATTAGCAAGGGGACATTTTCGGCTCACCATCGTTTCAGTGGAGACGTAGGTCCAAAGAGGGATTGCTCACGGCGCAAGCGCGATTTACCCACTCGTTTACGTTGCATTGTGGGACTTAGAGTTTCCAAAGAATGCAGAAGCTACGACATGAAAACAAAACTACTTTTATGAAACGTATAAAATACGCCGGTCCTTTTTTCAAATAAGTTATTTTATTATTGTATACTTATAACAACAAATAATAATACATTTATCCACCAGCTCGGATAATATTATATAAATATAATGACGGAAATGACTGTAACTATGGACGCGTCGGTGGATACGCGCACGCGCACTCATGGGGTGAAACAACATCCTTGCTCCTTTGCTGCTGAGTTGAAATGTTTATCGACTTAGCCTGTCATAATGCGGCATTTGTTTCTTGTGAACATTTAGTGCATTTCAAATATTCTTTCTTAAAGGCAAAGTCAGTTCTTATGCTATGAAGCTAACACGGAAACAAGTTCTCGCGAAGGCTAAGGCCTCCGACTTGGAGAGCGTGAAGAAACTGAACTGCTGGTGAGTGTCGTCATTTGAAAATAATAGTTGACGTAAGTCGTTTTTGTAGCTTTTTGGTAAACGTTAGAGGCGTATGGTCGACAAATCCAGTTTATTTTGTATACGTCGCATTTGTAGTAACGTCACACTGCATTTTGTTTTTGCAGGGGATGCAACCTGACTGATGTGAGTATTGATATGATATTCTGGTTTAGCATTGTAATACTATTAATGCTTACATTACTGTGCTAGGTATATTTATTATTAAGTAAGTGTTAAGTTAAAATGATATGCAAGTATTGCTATAATAGTGTACCCTTATGCTCTATCTTCCCAGATTTCCATCTTCTCTCAAATAGCTAACATTGAGGTGCTGACACTTAGGTTGGTCTTTTTAGTCTTTGCTGTGTCTCTTTCTGACACATTCACACACGTCACTGACACAATATTATTTGTTACATCGGCACAGTATCTTGAGATAATCAGTGAATCCTGTCTGTCACGTCTTCTCTTTTTCTCCCTCTCTGTAGTGTCAACAGCATCTCGTCCCTCTCTCCTCTGGCTGGCTGCCTGTCTCTGTGTGAGCTCTACCTGAGGAGGAACAGCATCCCCTCCCTTTCTGAGCTCTCCCATATGCGCCCACTGACGCGCCTCAGGGTGCTGTGGTTGGCAGAGAACCCCTGTTGTGGAGCTGACTCCAGCCAATACCGCCTCACAGTGCTGCGCTGCCTGCCTCGCCTCCAGAAGCTCGACAACCAAGGTGTGTGTGGGCGATTGTTAGAATTATTTGCACTGACAATAACAAAAGAAACGTTAGAGCTATCGACTGGAGCAAAATCTGCAACACTAAGGTTTGACTTTGAAGACAAGGTGAGGGTTGGATGAATCATCAGTGTGTGTGTTTGCAGTGGTGACAGAGGATGAGATTGCACTTGCTCTCGTGGAGGGTGAAGAAGTCAACACGCCTCCAGGAAGTGTCCAAAACCAGCTTTCAACCAACGGACATCCAGAGGCAGAGACAGAGAATGACCCGCTCAACTATAACATGGAGGAGACCAAGTAAGCCTTTTGGATTGATACCACAAAGAAATAAAATCATAAATCTGTCAAAGTGCTGTCGACATATTGAGAAAAACACATTTCTCATCTTTTTCAGCAAAATCAGAGAAGAGCTGGGAATGAAACTCCTCTCCAGAGACAAGTTCCCCTCCCTGTCTTCTCCATCCACCCGAGAAAACAAACTGACATTGAAAAGGGTAAACTTCTCACCTGAACAATGCTTTCTAGAATTAAAAAGCGACAAACTATCTCCCTTATAACTTTAGTTTTATTTTTCAGACACACACTCTCGATGCAGTTCTGCTGCTGCTGCAGGATTTGGATGAAGAGGAGCTTCGCTTTGTGCACACAGCTGCCACAAACAGACTGCAGACTTACATGCTGGATTCAGAAACACTGACGTATTCACTGCAGACACAGACAAGTACAGAGATCCAACACTGAAAAATCTCATCGCATGGAATCGTTTGCAAGACTCTCTCGCCTTCTTTGCATCAACCCTAGCCTCACTGACAAAAGGGATTATAAAAATCACCCTCCCCGTTATTTTTATCTTTTACATTACAAATGCAATGCATGGAATGTTTCACTGGCCTTTTTTCTCTCCTTTTTGTTACAGTTTACACATGTGGAGTAGTACTTAAAGGGGCCCTATTATGCTTTTTGGGGTTTTGTAAATGGTCTGCAAAGTTCTCCCACTCATTCCCCCCCTGCCTGAAACACCCCCATTGGACTCCTTTGTTTACTTCCGTGATATAAAAGCTTTCTCATTTCTCTAATTTCCCCTCTTCAACTCCTATCCTCGTGTCTTTGTCCCGCCCACAGGAGATGCGAGCGGAGGAGAGAGGAGGGGAAGCAGCAGGCGTTTAGAGAAATGAGAAATCCTCTCCTCTGAGCGATCATTTTAAAGAGACGTCAATTACGGGCCAACACACACAGAATAATAGGGCCCCTTTAATTGCGTTTTTTTTTTAACGCAGCATGCCTACCTGCCTTGAACAAACAAAAGAATGTACGTTTTGCAAAATGTCAATCTATTTCTGTAATTAAAGAGATGAAATTGCATAACTCACAAAGTGTTCTAATTAAACAGGTGCTGTCTGAAAACATATACATTAAAGCACAAGGTGTAAATGTCACGGTGCAACAATGGGGGCATTATTGACAAGTGAAACTTTACATCAAATATTAGATTTATTCAAGTGGGCATTTATGTCAGTGATGGAAGCAACCAAAATATTGATTTGCTGGTAAAGTCAGTAGCAGATTTACACAAGTCCTCTCTTTTCAGTCCCCCTCTTCGTTCTCCAGGAAATCCATCAACGTGCCCGGATCCACAGCGACGATCAGGTACTCCACTCCGTCTGCACCCTGGTGAGTCATGGGAACAATTGTAAGTGAGTCTGCCGAAAGCAATGGCAGCCATTAAAGGTTGGAAATCCTTAAGTTAAACAGGGCTCTACCTTGCGTGTGCGAATGAGTTTGTGGTCTCTGAACTCGGTCAGCTGAGTCCTGAGCGTAAGGTCGGAGTTCACCAAGAACGACTCTCGACAACGCTGGTAGAAATCTTGGAATGACAATCCTGCACCCAGCGATACAAATACGTTACAATCTTAAATCTACACACAATCATTTTAAGAAGAAGTTGTTACATCATGTTGAAGCTTTGTGTGTGCACCTGTGTATGAAGGGTTGTCTTTGTTTTCCAGCTGGAAATTCACCAACAGTTTGAAAATTCCTCTGCGAGAAGAAAGAGAACAAAGCCATAAAAAACTAAAGCAATTCAAGAGTGAGTTATATCAAGGTTTAAATAACATAGAATTGTAAAGACGAATCAAGAAATAGATTAATTATTCCAGACTTATGTTGATATTTGATTAAATATTGGGCCCTGTTACGCTAATTTTAAGGTTTCATAATATCTTGTTCCTCTTCTGTGACATGGGTCCACCTCTTTAAGATGTCCCGCCCCTTAGCCTATCATGTACAATGTGTTGAAGCGCTAGCCAATAGAAGCCAGGGCTGCGTGTCAGGTCGGTTAAATGGATTCCTTGCTTCCCTCACTTGCGTCGTTTCCCTGCGTTTAGTCCCTCCCACCAGGGAAGCATGGAGAGACGCAAGGAAACCACGAGAAGCAGGGAAATTAGTTTTAAGAGCAATGGGACGTCTTTTCCTCCGGAGCGTCACGTGAAGCGACGTCCGTTTGTGATGACGCCGCACAGCTGATCGTCTGACAGCAGCTCTGTCCCCGTTATTTTCACAAACACCCCCGCCTCTGTTGGTACACATTTACTGATGTATACATTTGTATCATCTGTTGTAGACCCAAATACATTAAATAAAATAAGAACTCATTCTCAACAAAGATAAACGCCATTCTTAAAATGTATAAACGAAAAAAGTGATGATGAAAATGTTTCCAATAAATGAATAAAATGATTTTTGACCACTTTGTTGTTCAGATATATCACATATTTGTAACTAAATGATACATTAATTTAAACAAAACACTGTATAAACTGAGGAGTGACTCTTGTGAGTTTCATGTGTTTTCTTCACTCCGCTGGGAAACTGCTCTCAATCTCATGTCAAGAAGCAACAGATCAGTGCATGCACTGCATCGTGATCAGTGAGCGATACACAGTAAGGGGGCGGAGCGAGTGGCTGAGGATTTCACCGGAGGATGGTCTGGTGATTCCTCGGTTATCGCTCCTCCATTATCGTAGTGTGTGGAAGAGAAACTTTGGGATTTTAGCCTTTGCAAACCATTTACATGCACAAAAACCTATATAACACACTACGGTTAAACAAAATAAAAAATGGCATAATAGGACCCCTTTATCAGTTAAATACAATTTTCATGCAAAAAATATGGAGATTTCCTTACAATCTTGATATGTTAAAGTGAATATGTTCTGGTTTTGGAATGACAGAAAAATACATTTAAAGCCACTTTGAGAAACTGTGGAAATGTTTCCCAATTTTCTGACACTTCATATATTTATCGCTTCATAGACCAAACTTTTTAATCTAAAAAATCAATGCTGGTACCTTGCATTGGGTGTCAAGCTGCGCAGCACGTGTGTGAGCGAGGACAGGGCGAGAGCGCCGGTCTGCTGCACCAGGAGCGAGTTTTCATAAGACGTTTCCTCTGTGTAGTGCTGGAAGGACACACACTCCCACCACAGCCAGTTGAACTGACTCTGCTTAAACTGGTCCCACACTGGAAACAGGAGAAAGTCAGCAACAAATACAGATTTGAGTAGAATAAACACAGAGACTAGAAAACACCCACCCAATGGAGCGTTAATGTGGTCCAAAGAAGCCACCAAGTGTAGGTTGGGCAGGGATGCCAGCTGCCCCAGTGCACTCTGGTTCTTCTCTCCTCGTAGCATTGGTCCATCGATGTTATGGATTATCAGATACAGATGGAGGTCTGGGCCTGTAAGTAGATGCTTCCATTGTAAAACACATCATTTAAACATTAGCTTTATAACGGGAAACAATATACAGTCA